CCCCGCTGTCCCGGCCTGCGTCCGCTGCTTCTCCAAGCTCCGCCGCTGGAACTCCCGGATCGCCTCTGGGGGAAGACTGAGTGAAAAACGGAGCGAAGCTTCTCTGCGGCCTCCCGGCGCTGCCCAGAGGCTCTTGCAGGAGCATGTGTCAGCGGCCGGCGGCCTGGAGCGGCCCCGGCTGTGAGACAGACAAGGGAGCACTTAAAGTAGCCGCTGCCGCTGCCGCCACCACCACCCTGCCGAAGATACTGCAAACACACTTCTTACCTTACATACTGAATGTGGAAATATTTTTTTTTTTTTGAGCGGACTATAAATTGACAAGCTTTCCCTAATAGCCGAGAGATAAGATCAACTTCCCTGGCAATATGAAACTGGTAGTGCCAATTAGTTATGTCTGTCCTTTACACTCCTTAGGATATTAAATTATTTATTTTCTGATTTCCAGCCTGTGATATGAATGTTCACATACAATGTGTAATAAATGTTCCAAGTCTTTGTGGAATGGATCACACGGAAAAAAGAGGGAGGATTTATTTGAAGGTTGAAGTGACTGGTGACAAGCTGGAAGTCACAGGTAAGGAAAGCTTCTTAGATGTAATGTGGCTTATTTAAGGATGCTTTTATTCATTTATATTGAATAGCTTTGAGGCAATAAGCATAAAAAATGGCTTATGTACTATATTCAGTAAAATTTCAGCCTCTGGCTGGAACAAAGGATTATGAATTCCTTTGAACTGAAGGGTGTAATAGGCTTACTATCCATATAAGAACGTACCCAGCATCCATGGCTGGAAAGTGAGGATGGAAAATGACACAGTGTGCCCATATTCTGCTTTGGGGCTTCCAGCAAGGAACAGCATGTCCTTTTGGCCTAATTCCGCTAAGGAAAAAATCCCTTGAAATAGTAATTGATTACAAACTGAATAGAAGTCAGCAATGTGATGGATCTGCAAAATAGGCATATGCCTGTGGAGGTGCTTAGTAGATTAGGAGAAGATCCCACCTCCACCCTATTTACGCATTGATTCCTTTTTATCTAGTTCTTGGTCAATTGTATTGTTTTAATTCCTAATGCTTTTAATGTTCTTATTCTTTTATATCACACTTTGATATTGTTGTAAGCTGCCCAAAGTCACTTGACAGTGAGATGGGTGGCATATAAATTAAAGCAGTAAATAAATCAACATATTCAGAGAATGGCATTGTGGATGATCAGGCAACTAGAGCCTAAATCTTAAGGGGCAAATGTGAAGGAAGTAGGTATTTTAGCTTTGGTGTGTGTGTGATAACATACTTCAAGTGTCAGCTGTCACAGACAGACACATCAAAATCTCTCATTTATTTTTTCAGGGTATAGAAAATAAACGCTGTATTTAAGTTGTGTTAAAATTGAAGGCTAGGAAACAGCTTCCCAACACTAACATGAGTTTTGACTGAGGAATTAATTTACCCGAAAAGTTGATGGACCACTGAATGTATTGACTGGAAGTAGACCTCCATCTGTTAGGAATGCATTTGCTTGGGTGACTATACTGAACGAAGAATGTTATGATTCTATCTTCATCTGAAACTACAAGAATAGAAAATGAAACAAGAAAACTAGATTTTTTTGTTTTCTTTGTTATTTTTAAATACTTTTTAAAAATAGATAGTTGAATCATGTTTCGATGTAACTGACAAAATGCAGGCAGCTCAATCCTACTGCTTAAGGTAGATTGGTTTCCTTTCAACTTTAGTGACCTCTCCGAAGCAGCAGTCCATGAAAATGAAAACTAAGCTTTCCACAGACCCTTTTTTCAAATTAGGAAAGACAAAGTAATCTTAAGTCTATTTTTATTCGTAGACTATTGGCAATATAATTGACACTGAATTTAGTAGGCCGCTATCTGTAATATTTCTAGCATTTTCTGTGACAAGGTTATTATGCTCACAGCAAAGAATGAAATTGGAAATCAATATTGATCATTTGTTAAAATTAGAGACACAGCTTCTCTTACTAATCATTGGTACCAACTCTTTTGTCTGGGCCAGAAGAAGTGTGTAGCATGGAGGACTCCGAGTCCCATCATGCGCACCATATCACGATAGTGCACCCAGCAATCCGAACCCCAGATAATATAAGGCAGTGTTTCTCAAACTTTTCAGCTTGAAGATGTGTGGACTTCAGCTCCCAGAATTCCCCAGCCAGCAAAGGGAGTTCAAACACTGATGTAAGACACAAAAGAATCTGGTAGGGAAATCTACCTTAACAAAACTAGTTGGCCTGATATTTCAAGAGAACCACCAATGGTGGATGCTATTTTCTCTATTCTCGTAGCCCCGGATAGCTGAGGGAGAGGAAAATTATGGGGGAGCTCTCCTCACAACTTGAGGTGGAAGGAAGCATGATATTCTTAGCCTGGCAAGATGTAGGAGTGTCAGTATTCTGAATCATCTTCCGGAAAGCGGTATTGAGTTACCTCTAATTTTTGCTGATCTTAGGGCTTAATTTAGTGTTACCCAGGGCAGAATTCTGTAGGAGTCTGAATCAGACTTCCAATTGCTCTTAAAATGCATTGTGCGAAATAAATAAATAAAGTAGGCCTTACTTTGACAGATGCCCTGAAGGTAGAAAAGGCAGTTAAGCAGATACAAAACTGACAGTGTCACATAAGCCTTGAAGCACTGAGGGTATTACTATCCACCTCCACTCTGCTGCTAGTACATTATTTTATCTTTTCTCTATTGTATGCTTCTCCTCCTCCTCCTTCTGTCTCCTAATTAACTCTTTTGATTTGCCCTGCTAAAAGAGAGCACACGGCCTGCTTTTATAGCCCTATAGCAAATTGGAAGAAAGGGATGTGGTGGTCTGTTTCGTTTTTGTTTGTTTGGTGGGTTTTTTGTGGGGGGGGGTAGTTGGTGGGCAGTTGCCTATTAATGAAACTATGTCCACCCTTTTTCCCTTCCTTGATTCTTCACAATCATCTCTATTGTAACGTGTGTGGGTTGTTGTGAGGGAAAGACACGCAGGAGCCGTGGATGCAAGACAGACAGATCTTTATTAGTAGGTGACAAGCGATTCAAACGTTCCCTGAACGGTCAGGGTATTTATACTAGCACTCAGACCAACTGTCAAAACGCCCAGCCAATCAGGTCGCAGCTGGTATTTGCATATTCAAACTCTCTCCTTCCCCCCAGTTCTAACGACCAAATGACCAGCCAATCAGGTCGCAGCTGGTATTTGCATATTCAAACTCTCTCCTTCCCCCCAGTTCTGCGCATGCTCGGCCTCGCTGTTGCAAGATGCTGGTGAGTCCTTCGTAGCTAAATTTTAGAACCAGGAAAGAAAGCAGGTCCTTTGGGATCTTTGCAGCGGGGAGGCTCTCGTTGTGTTGTAGGGAGGCTCTTGTTGGTTTTAGGGAGGCTCTTGTTGGTTCGAGAAGCAAGCGGTGGCCTTTGCAGCGGAAGGAGGCTCTCGTTGGTTTTTTAGTTTAATAAGCGGCGCGGAACTAGGCTTTTGAATAGGCTAGCGGCGGAGCTGTAGACGGAGGCACAGCGGAGGCAAGTGGATTGCACAGGTGTAGGGCGTGCTCATGGTGTAGAGGA